AACCAGAGGTGCAGGGGTGGGGAGAGGATTCACCAGAGACAGAGTGGGGAGCAGAACAGTCAGATTGACGAAGTACATTGCTGATGGGAGCAGTGGGTGGGTCAGGAGAGATCTGCTGTGCTGTGTGGATCACCTCCTGGGCTGGGGATTGAACTCACATTGAAGTGGCTATGGCTAGCTTTCAGTGCTGTGTCATTACCCGATGCACCACCAAGGAAGGACTATAGAAAATTTTCAACACAAAAAGTAATACCACGTAAGTGGCATTTTGCATCTATACGTATGCTTAGAAAGTACCTAAAACATACAAGACCATAATGATAGTTATTGCTATAAAGTTACTTCACTGAAAACTTTGAAATCATTCCATTGAATTACTATGTTATGGTCAACTAAAATATAATGAACACTTCTTAGATGTAGCAATGTTTGAAAACATAAATTTATTGCTTTGTAAATTAATAAAGATTTACTAAAATAAGAATGTGCATCACTTTGAGAATTGTTCATCTCCATGTCACTTCTATGTAAAACTTTTGTGGATGTGATATTTAATTTGGGTAGTACATGGTTATATCTGTGGTGGTGGTGACAATTACAGGCCAAAACATGGCAAAGGCTATCGGACAGCTCACTTCCATGGGAAGGAGTATTTAGAGGTCAGAATCACTTAGCCAGCTAGAAGAATCAATTTAGATATTAGGATAAAAGGAAGTAGGAAAGAAAATACCCTTCTAAATCTTTTGATTCAAAGGGTCAATGTAAATCAAATGAGAGAAAATAATTAGTTCTTAGAGAATTTTTTTCTGGCCATTTTATTTCTGTTCTAAGAGGATTGCAGTGGGCCTCTCTGATGGCCAAGGAGTTAAGTCCCAGTGTTATTGCTGCTAAAGTTCGATCCCTGCCAGGGAGGTGACTTACTTGGCACGGCAGACCCCTCCTGTCTACTGCTGCTACTATCCTCAGCAGTGTATTTCAGTAGATCCACCTGTTCTGCTCTTCACTCTGTCTCTGGTGAATCCTCTCACCACCCCATCCCCACCCCTCTGACCTACATCCCAGTTAATATAATTTTTTTTTTAATTTAAAAGAGGACTAAAGATGAATTTGTCCCTGGCATATGCTCCATAGACATACAAGCGAAGTACAGCTTCTTGAGGCATTCTTACCCTGCTTCTCTCCAGGACTTGGCTTTTGAAAAGTTACTAATAGTGTAGTTTTGTGCCTATAAGCTCATTGTTCTGACTTATTAAAGGCTTTCTAAGTTCTTCTGAAAAACTATTTGCAAGCTTAAAAGGAAGGTATTAGGACTGTGGTTTTATTTCTAAAGATTAGTAATGCATAATTCATTAATCAAGAAGTCAAAATAACTGGTAGTTTCTCCTGGGACAAATATATGCATATATAAAATATTAGCAAAGCAGAATTAGAATTTTTATACAGTGCACTTTAGCCTATTTTTTCCTGTGATTTAATGGATATGATACTGTGATAATTATTTATTTAAAAAAGTGAAATGTAATGGATTTACTAATGTACATCTCACTACATAAAAATTTTGAGTCTGATGCTGCATATATTCAATGGTTGTTTGGTAGGATTGTGTAATGCTAATCATCAGTGAAGACAGAAAAATGTGGATTTAACAATATGTGTTTCGGTTCTTAACTGTTTTCAGTTGTCAGTTTATCCATTACTCTTTTTCTTTGTCACTATCAGGATGTGCAGATATCAGGATATGGTAATTCTCAAACATTTTGATTTTGGACATCATTATACTCCTAAAAAATGCTGAGGGTATCGTTTGTGCACTATAACTACTGCTATTTAACGCATTAGAAATTAAATCCTAAATTCAAAAATATTTATTATTGTTCTTTAAATTAACAATGATGAACCTATTACAAGTTTCCCCAAATTACATCATTTGGTAAAAAAAAATGCTTTTGCTGATTATTAGAATAATATTCTTTAGTACATTTCAAGTCTCTCAAAATCTACTAAATAGTGACTAGATTCAAGCATATTTTACTCATAACTAGCCAAGGATAATCAGGAAATATAAATATGGCAGCATAGCAGACTTGTCATCCTATAGGATTTGCGGTCAATATTGTAAAGATATTAGTGGAATTCTAATATTAGTAGAAATACCTTATGTATTTGTATTTGAGTTCTCAATGCCTTATAAGCCTGGTTTAAAACTGCTTTTTCTGCTTCGCTTTTGTTGTAAGTCCTAATGACTGTATTCAAGTGTTCATCTTCTTAAACAATGATGCTCATTACAGACCATATTATTTTGCATACTGCAATTCATGTCAGATCCTTCATTGAGTCACGACGAAAGTTGGTAAAAGATGTGAAGATATATTTTGGATAATTAAATAAGACATTTCATTTTCTTCCCAATACCACCCCATATCCCAATCCCTACCCCAGAATCTCTTTCCATTCAGCTTCCATTCTAGTGCTTTTACTTATTAAGGACTTAAAGATGGCTGAATAGGAAACACTATCTATGATTTATGACATGACTTGCATCATTCTTTCAGTTTAACAAAAATGTCAACTTTTTATTTTAGAACTTTTGATTTTCTAGTAATAAGCTTAAAAGATATTATTCATTTAGAAGTATATTCAGAGGAAGATTAAGTCATGCCAAGAAAATTACTGTTCCAGCCTAATAGAGGATTAAAAAAAAATACATATTTGAGCAGCTTCCTGCTATGAACAAGTCTCATTTGCTACTCCTACATCCTTTCTACTCAATTTCATTATATATAGGAAGTCATGGTAACTATGATTTGTTATGCTCAGTGTGGTCTTCTTTTCCTTTTTCTGATGACAAAATAGAGAATTTTGCAAATAGATAACCCTGTAGCTTGAGGGTAGCAGATATCAGTGCAGCTTGCAGGGACTCGGTTGTTTCATTTATTAGGTCAAGAATTGGGATATACAGACCAGACAGAGCAGGAAGTTCATAGTAAATAAAATGAAAGGACTATAAAAATATTATAAACGAGACTGTCAGCATTGGGTAGACATATACATCTGGAAAGGTGTGAGTCTATATTCCTAAGTCACATACAGTGTTTTAAGACAGTTTCACGTCAATAGAAATGAATACAATTAAAAAGACACTCTAAAGAGGGACATCTGTATTATTCAGTTTTAACAGTGTTTAAAGTGTTCTGTAAAATGTACAGTTGTAACTTGATTATAAACAGGCATAGTTCACAAGTGAAATGGTTTTTATGGACTAGAAATTTTTTGAGAGAAAAGGATGACAGCACTTAATTCTCCTCGGGTAGAGGGAGAGTTACAAATGGAGACATTGAGAGGGGCAAATATCTTTAAACATTATGTATGTGTTGTAAGGATTTCATAGCAAATATTTCTTTCATGAAAAGTAGTTTAGGACAGATAGCAAAGTAAGTGACTATAGAGCAGAACAGAATATAGATTATAATAACCAGTAATTTTAAGCAGGCTCAATTCAAATAAAACCTGAGATGTTTTACTGCAATGAGGATGTACTTATTCTTTCAAATGATGCCTTGTTAAACCATAAACCCTACTCAACTAATAGTTAAGCTTTATAGTTTGGGGGAAGTTTCTATCAGCTTTTCAGTAGAGCTTATAATTTTGATGATTTGAGGTATCTTGGAAGCTGTGTCACTGAATCATTTATATAATTGGAATATGCTTACAAGGCCTGCCAGGCTGTAAGAAATCCTGATTGAGACCCCAACTGGGCTCCTAGGTTTACCATTTGTTTGTTTTTTTAAGATTTATTTATTTATTTATGCATATAGAACTAGGGTACAGGCCAGAGGTACAGTGGGTGAGAGGATTCACCAGAGACAGACTGGGGAGCAGAACAGATCTACTGAAATACACTGCTGAGGGGAGCAGTGGGAGGGTCAGGAGAGGCCTGCCATGCCATGTGGGCCAGTTCCTTGGCTGGGGATTGAATTCGTGCTGCAGTGGCATCGGAGAGCTTCACAGTGCTGTGCTTTAATCCATTGTGCCACCAGGGAGAGCTTGGGGTTTACATTTTTGAACACATTTTTAAAAGTAAAGGAAGAACATGAACATAAGATGTAAATGAAATTTACCTCATTAAGCTCAGACACTCCAATTCTTAGATGCAAGACCTTTTTTGATTCTGAAAGTCATAATATCTTGATGAATATCTGTAAGACACCAGAAACCTAAGGGTATTTTTCATTATTATAACTGTCACATTAGAAATAGCATATTTGTAAATACAGAACACAAACTGCTGAGTCACATATTATCTTTTTAAAACTAATTCTTAGAAAATAGGCTGTCAGCATGCAGCCTTTCTGGGAATGAAATCAGAAAGCACTTAGCTGTCAGAAGTTACAAATACTTTTGACATAATTTTGAGACTAAAGAATCATTTTTTTTATTATAATAGTTTATTTTTACATCATTTTGTACGTTTTTTTTTTCTTAATTGTAATCCTCGTGGGTTTCCCATTACCAAGTCACCCATGTGCCATCACCATAGTCCCGTGCACTTCCTTCCCTCTCACTCCCCACCCCCGTTTTTGATCCCATTCCCCACTCCACTTTTATACTGCTATCATTAATGAAGACTTGGGTTCACATACAAATGATGTTTCCTAGAAAAACAGTACTTTGATTATCACCAAGAAAGTACTGGCTTTACATTACTATCTCATAATATGGGAGAGTCAGAAAATGCTTTTTTTACACTTGGTTCAGAATAGGGGCTTCTTAGTGTCTATTCCTGTTCCCTATCTGAGACCAGAAACTAAGGGAAAATAAGTTTCAAGCTTATGCATTTTAAGGTATGAATGCCACCAATCCAAAGAATGACACTTTGACCTAACTTACAAAGGAAACTTTAATACAGATAAATCTACACTTAACCCCTTTGGAGAAGAGAATGCAATGTACCATTGTAAAGCAAAAATGACCTTCTATTCACATGCATATGTGGGATGTATGTCAGATTATCTCATAGCGAATTCTTTAGAGGAGAAAGATGTGTTCTAGGATCCTGTAGGTTAATGTTGACCACATATATTCCAAACACAATGAAAAGTTACAGTACAGATTAGAATAGCAAATCAGATTAGCTTAGCTCAAACCTCTGGCACAAATAGGAATCATAGGAATTTACACATCCCAGTCTGTAATTGAAAAAATAAACCTGAAACACCATCAGGAAGAGCAAAAGAGATGACTCCATAGTGTATAAGGAGGGAAGAGTGGGGAAGTGACCAGATAAAAGAAATGAAAGTTGCTGACGTCTGAAGCACAGTTATTTGTGGAACACGATAATGTAAGTTACCCTTTCAAGCCCAGGAGGCAAGGCCAAATGTTAGTAAAAAGTACTGAAATCATTTACAACATGACAGATATCTTGGATTTTGAGTGAAGGGAGAATCTTAGAAAGTGCAAAGATTTGATTAATTCATCTGATTTCAATCATGATTTAGCCATATTTTTAGTTAACAATGAGTCAATCTTCTAATGAATCCTACTTCTGAAAGAATCCTACTTTCTGCTAAAGAAAACTTGACATTACATTGCTTATTATTGCTTATAAATCTATAGTTTATTACAGGAAAAGGATATAATGCAGCAACATCATTAAGATAAGGATATGCATCAAAGGTGACATCTGTTTCACAGTAATGACTAAAAACCAAGCTCACTTTATAAGTGCAAACTCCAATTGCCTTCCCTGTGAACACCATAATGGATGCACTTTCTCTCTTAGCAGGACTCGCTGGTGTGTGCACAAAACCAGGGAGCCCAGTAGGGGCCTCAACCAGGATTCTTTCTTCCTGGCAGGTCCTATAAGCATATTCCAATTATATAAAAATACTTCAGTGACACAGTTTCCAAGATGCCTCAAATCATCAATATTATTATCTATAACTATACTGAGAAGCTGATATAAACTTCCCCCAAAGCCCTCAGAACCACAACTACAAAGCTTGACTATTAGTTGAGTATGGTTTATGGTTTAACAAGGCATCATTTGAAAGAATAAGTACATCCTCATTTCAGTAAAACAGCTCAGGTTTACTTGAATTGAGCCTGCTAGAAGTAACCCTCATAGCCCAACAGTCTGTCATTTCAACCTATCTTTTAATTTCTCAGTTTAATGTCCATTAACTAATCTGTATTATCCAGCAAACATTAATGGCATAAGAGTTATAAAAGATCAGTTGACAGTTCTGTATGCACAAATAAATAAATATTAAAAAAAAAAATACATATTCCTAGCCTGTCTAATGCTAGGGAGTAGCAGGTCACATAATGCAGGGCTATGTCAGAGAACCCACCTGGGAATATTTTTTCTCATTTTAATGAATGCAAAAATGGGTTTGGCACATCCGTTTCTGCCTTGGCCACAGATGTGCTGCCTGCAGTTAAAGCAAACATTAATTGGCTACAAGTGAAAAGAGGACAAGGTTAAAGGAGACCGAGACACTGGCTCTTAACATCGTTGAGCTGCCGAACTAGCCTCAGCAACCCTTTATTTCCAGACTGACTGACATATATGGAAAATAAATCCCTTTGCTTAAACCAGAAACCTAATATTAACTTTTGATAACAGGGCAGGTTTTCTTGATTCTTAAGATAGGAAACATATGCTCTGTCATGATTTTTTAAAATCTGTATAGCTCTGTCTTAATGTGTTAAGAACTACCACAGTATCAATTTTCCATAAGGATAAGGAAGGGGGGGGCGGAAAAACTGTCTTTTAAGTTCTGATGGATAATTGAGAACAAAATGGAAGACCAAGGATGTGAGACACCAGAGTTCTCATTCCTCTTTATTCTCCAACTTGTCCATACTTCAGGTGTAGAGGATGTAAAAGTATTATGTTTATCTGAGGGAGTATATTATCAGAAAACTATAGGTTCTTAGGAAATCATCCTTCATTTCAGTCATGTCAGAATGCTTGTTAGGAGGATGTGAACATAGCAGAGGAAGGTGAGTAATTAGATGAGTTAAAGCTGTGTTCTTGATTCTTAAAAGTGTGCATGGTATACTTTGTGTGTGGAAAGAATGGCATTAAACATCTAGTCTCAGACCCCATTCTCTGTCAAGGAGGAAAAGGTGGATATAACTATTTGGATATGAAAAATTGTTTAATAACCTTTTACGATGCCTATTGTGTGAAGTAACCTCCTGTACCTTATTTAAAGACCTTAAATGCCATTATGGATCTCACAGAACAATTGATATGTTATGGAAGGTGTTGGGACCTGAAAGCTGGAACATTCATACCTCTCCCTTCTTTACCTGTTTCTGAATATTTGTATACCTGACATTTTTAGTCAAGCTTGAGATTGTGTAAGATATCTTTAGTGGTATTTGGATGTGACAATCTGATGCTTTCTGTTAGTTCACATAACATGGTATCCTAAATTGCCTAGTGTTCCTGAAAAAAAAAAAAAAAAGCCAGGAGAATACAAAAGAACTTACATTGGGAAAAAAATGCTTCAGTGCTCTAGAAAAACATTGCTGGTCCAATCATGGTAAATTCCATATAGCCTAATAATTGTAGAATAAAAGTTCCATGACAACAGAGAATTGTTTCCTTTTCACTATTTTTCTAATTTACTTGCCGAGCACATAGTAGGTTCTCAAAAAATATGATGAATTCATTAGTAAATATATATTAATAACTTAAATAGTATTTTCAGGTAATTCACCTTCCTATTTGGAACCTAGGCCAGCCTGTATTTACCCACTGCTCCTCACAGAATTTCCCTATCCCTCAATAGACATGTTAGAACTTCTAGTTTCCTTGTACATTTAATAAAAGACCAAGAGTACTAACTCAAAATGATTACATTTGCCTTTCTAAAATTTAATTTATGCCTTTTCCCCCATACTGCACTGCAGACAGCACTATCACCAAAGCCTGAAAGAGATGTGGATGTGTTACGCAGTAGTCCCTGCTATTCTTTTACATTAGTTATGTCTCCAGGGTTTCTTGTGGTGAAGGTAGCTTTCAACCTCAAAACTCTAAACTTTAATTCTTTGTTTTTCCTATATTTTTCTGATGGCCCCTTAAGAGGAAAGGAACTCAATTTTCACTTTCATGTCCTTTGCATTATATCCCGTTAGTAACCTAGACAGTAATAAGCCTCTTGTATTGACTACCATGTGAGTAGGGGCAATATTTCAGAAATATTAAATGAGTCTCATAGTCAGAATTTTCCATGTCTGAAACTAATATTTTTAAAGAGTTACAGTATCTGAAAAATTTACTTCTCTATATTTTTGACATGGATAACCATTGCCAAACTAAAATGTGAAGAGATTCAACATAGGTCTCAGAAATGATCAATGACCTGTGTTCTAGGATATACCTATCTATTCCTTCGTGAATATTTAACTATATGGCCAGGACTTAAGAGTACATTTTAATGTCAAAACAAAATAAATTCTGTGATATTTGCAATATTTTGTATGTTACCCAGTCAAAAAGATCTTCCCATCTACTCTTCACTTTTCTTCTCTTCCACAATTCTGCTACCTCCATTAAAGATCATAATTATTATAGGCTGTGGATTCCAGTTATAGCTGGGATGTCCTGGGATTTGAGAGAGACAGAAGAGGCTAATGGTGAAGGCGAAAACTGGGGAAAAATAAGTCATAGAAAGGGGAGTGGTGAGAAGGTCTTTTAAAGGAGATGAGGTCAATAAGTATGTTCCTTTCTAATCAAAGAAATAGCCTTGCAGGTACACCACGTAGAGAGGAAAATAGATTCTTTTTCTAGATTAGGCATACTCTTCTCTGGCACTGATCACGGGCAGGTACAGCAGTCATCATCACTGTGAGCAACAGAAAGATGAAGAAAGCAAGGTACAAAGACAGCTAGGTGATCAAAGTTGATAAAATTTAATGCTTTGAATGGAGAGGGAATCAACTTAATTAATAGAAATAGACTGTGAATATAGAGGTGCTCAGGTCAGCAAGGCCTTTGGGAGATTTAGAGTTTTAAGGGGAGGAGAACGATAGTGTTTATAATTACTGTACTTAAGAAATGAGAAAAGGAAAAAACACTGAGTATAAGTTGCTAAGAGCTTTTAGTATATGTCATTAAAAAGAGAGAAAACTGGGGCCCTCCCTGGTGGCGCAGCGGGTTAAAACACAGCACTGAGAATCTAAAACCGCTTCCGCA